CCCTGTGTGTTGAAATTGGAGGGCTGTCCTGAGCCAGCCCTGACCTTCACTGGCTCTGGGATAGCTGGCTCTGCCCCTTGCTGGACAACAAAGCAGCTTGCCCTGCCTCTCATGGGAGAGATACCCACCCCCTGTACTTGGAAGAGATGGCCCCACTCCTCACCATGGGTGTGAGAGAGCTGGCCCTGATGGCTTGGGCTTAGGAGAGCTGATTCCACCCCTTGCCTGAGGGGGGTGGTCCCAGATGCCCAGACTGACCAGCTCAGCTACCACCCAGACCCATATCCTGGACCCTGGGTTTGCCCATCTTAACATCTACCCCATCTATGATCTGTTGAAATACATGGAGGGACTGGGCCCGTGCAATAACAGCAGCATGATCCCCATGACTCAAAAGCAGGATATCTGAAAGGGTTTTCAGTGAGGGTCCAGTGGTGGTGATGTGCCAGAGACCAGAGGCCTTGGACCAGACCAATGACTCATTGCAGTGAACATTTGTGGGCTGATTGGACAAAAGGGTACACCGTGTGACACACCATAGCTCCCAGTGCCATTAGGAAGAATAAAGAGGTGTTGGAGAAGTGGGAAAGACAGAGAAGCAAGGTGGTTCTTTTTTGTTTGTTTTTAATTAATTTGGGTTTTTTGGAGGGCGTGCTGTAAGGGTGAGGGGCTGATATGGAGGGAGTGGGAGGTGAATGGCATTGGGGTGCATGATGTCAAATTTCCAAGGAATCAATAAAGAATTACGTTATGTGTATAAAAATTGAAGAAAAGCAAGGAGGGGCATGCAGGAGGGATTGGAGAGAGGAAAGGGAAGGGAGAAATAATGTAATTATAATATCAAAAACGAAAGAAAAATAAACAACAGAGATGAATAAGCATTGGAAGCAACACAAGATTGTGGGCACTAAGGTATTTATTTAAATGCGAGTTACATATTATTTAATGTAGGAAATTAACTCATCAATGTTTTCAGCTATTTGGTTTTTAAATCACCTTGGGGTGGCAAGGTAGTTTTTTTTTTGTAATGTACTTAGCAACAGATTATTTGCCTGGCATGGAGGGTGATTTTTGAACTCTAGCAACACACACACACACACACACACACACACACACACACACACACGTTTGTGCTTAGGTAATGCCGATCCCTGACCTTATGTAGAATTTTGTGTTTATAAGTTCAAAACTATAATACTAACAAAATTGCAGTTTCTTTTACCTGTGCACTGGGCTTGGGACCAAGAACACCTGCTACTACAGTGGGTGAATTTTTCAGAGCAGGGATAGTTTTGCTAACTAGCATGTCTTCAGCATATACAGTTGCTTATTAGTGAACCAAACACTGTGGAAGTTCTGAGCACAGTTCCTAACAAAAGCATAGTCAAATGTATTCTCTGTGCAAGATGAGGTGATCTGTTGGGAGGAATAGGCTTGACTTAATGGAAAAGATGGGACAGATGGGACTGTGTTTTGAATGTGTTCCTTCCAAGATCTATGTTGAAATTTAATTGCCAACCCAAGGCTGGTCATGGATAGGGGCATGACCCTTGTGGATGGTATTGACACCTCCATAAAAAGGCAAATAGAACTAAGTAGGCTCTTTGGCTTTAACCCATTTCTCTCATGGGAAGACACAGCAAGAAAAGTGCCATCTTGGAAGCAGAGACTGGTCTCTTAGAAGCACATCGAACCTGCTGCCATCTTGATTTTGGTCTTCCCAGTCTCCAAACCTGTGAGACAATAGATTTCTGTTTTTATTTTTAATTTTTAAAATTTATGTGCATGTGTTTCTCTCTCTGTCTGTCCCCCCCCCGTGTGTGTGTGTGTGTGTGTGTGTGTGTGTGTAAATGCTTTCAGAGGTGTGGCGCCAGCGCCACAAGCAAGTCCAGGGTATCAGGAAAAGAGAGACCAGACGTCCACTTGTTTGTCCTAAGAGAATGCATGTGTAGCCTTTATTGCCAGGACAGTGTGTGTGTGAGTGTTCATTGCAAGTGCTAAGAGGTCTCTCTCTTGTAAGAGGGAGGAGCTTTATATACAGGTTTACAGCACAGTGGAAAAACCCCAGGTAGGAGAGATCTTGTTTTCCTCCTACTAGATGTTGATGTCAGAGGGTCAAGGCCAGGGCAGTAAGCCAGGACTAGAAAACAGAAAGCACTTGGACTGGAAAACAAGTTGCCCTTGTAGGCTGACCAGCAACTCACAGAGACCCCATGGGGCTGGGGCCCAACATCTCCCCCCTTCTTTATATATAAATTAGCACCTATCTCAGGTGACTAGGATGTTAATGTCAATCTTAGTATACAAAAACAAACATTTATAAACAATATTTGGGAATGTGGGCATCGTTCTTTCCAAGCTACTTCCTGCTGTTAAGGGGCGCTGACATACCATGGGGATCATGACAAAAAAACAAAACAAAACCCAGAAACCTGTTGAAGGTCTTGTTTTTGTGGTCTGTAAGGCTGCATCATCTCAGCTGTTTAAATGTTGGATCACCTGGGCCACTGCTTCAGGTGGTCTTGCTTCATCAAACCAATCTAGTCTGGAAGGAACCCACAGCTTTTTATGTTCTGTGGAAACAAAAGCAGAAATTCTTTTCCCAAGTAACCTGTCCTTATATTTAAATTTAGAAGTCAAAGCATTTTCAAAACATGCAAGTTGGATTAATTTAGCAACATTAATAATCAATTGTCTTTTAGCAGTTTTTGTTTCTTTCTCAGCAATTAAACAATTTAAAGACACCACAACTGTACACAGTATCCAGACTCTCTGTGTATTTTCCATTCTATATACTTTTATCTTTTCCTTAATACCAGTACCTCCTTTATTAACTGTTACCAATTTTTAATTCACCCACTTTTAATCCACCCTCCAACTAATGGTGATCTCTCAGGGTCCCCTTTCTTTCCTGACCTTGGTGCCAGGTGAAGGCCTGGAGATTTAATCCAATCCACCCTCCAGCTGAGGGTGATCTCTCAGGTTCCCCTTTCTTTCCTGACCTTGGTGTCAGGCGAAGGCCTGGAGATTTAATCCAATCCACCCCCCATCTGAGGGCAATCTCTCAGGGTCCCCTTTCTTTCCTGACCTTGGTGTCAGGGAAGGCCTGGAGATTTAATCCAATCCACCCCCCATCTGAGGGCAATCTCTCAGGGTCCCCTTTCTTTCCTGACCTTGGTGTCAGGGAAGGCCTGGAGATTTAATCCAATCCACCCCCCAACTGAGCTCTCAAATAAACCCTGGAGATTTGACCATTCAATTTTACTGTTAGAAGTTGAGGTACCTGTTTAATTCTTTTCTTTCTCGAGTCTCTCCTCCCCTGAGTCTTCTTTCTGGCCCATCTTTCCCAGTCTTTCTAAGTCTCTCTGGATCTCACTGGAACCTCCAATCGTGGCGCCAGCACCACAAGCAACTCCAAGGTTAGGGAAAGAAAGACCAGACCAGTTGCCCTTGTAGGCTGACCAGCAACTCACAGAGACCTGAAGAGGGCATGTGATCCTTTAGAACTGGTAATAGAAGTTCTTGTGAGCTACCCAACATGGGTGCTAGGAAACAAACTCAGGTCCACTGTAAGAGCAGCATTCATTCTTGACTGCCAAACCATCTCTCCAATTTCTGTTCTTTATAATTTTAACAAACACACAAAACCATAAATACTAACAGGATTTCATGTGATGTTTTTATGTGTGTATATATGCACACATATGTTTACATAGTATGCACACTGTGATGTGTAAGTCAGATCTGGTGTGCTGTTCCACAGGGAGTTAACTGTAGATAATAACCCACTGTACAATTCAAAAAACTAGATGGAGTTTTACAGTTCACATAAGAATAATAAATGTTTGAAGAGATGTGTTCAGACTGATTTACTTTTGAAATATTTATGTGTATGGGTGCCTGTGGAGGTTAGGACAGTGGATTCCTGTGGAGGTTTGAGTTATAGGCAGTTGGGAGCCAACTACTGTCAGTGCTGGGAAGCAAACTGAGGTCTTCTACAAGTTCAAGAAGTGCTCTTAACTTCTGAGCCATATCTGCAGCTCTAGAGTAATACTCCTAAATATATGCACATGCACCATGTGCATGCCTGGGGCCAGAGGTGGCTGGAAGAGGGCTTTGAATCTCCTCGAACTAGAGTGACAGACAATTGTGAGCTGCTCTGTGGCTACCGGAAAACTGATCCCAGGTTCTCTGCAAGAGCAACATGTATTCTTAACCTCAAACCTCCAAGTCCCGTTGGAGTATTCAAGTAATCTTTTACTATGTTCAGCTTGCTTGCAACATGTGCGTCTGTCCTTCAGCACCTTATCAGGAATGCTCAAGACGATGCATTTATCACTCATGGTTTGTGACGCATTTCGTCGGTCTTATTCACCTAACCTCCACAACGGCCCTGAATGCGAACTTATCCGTGAGTTATGGAAACTGTTATCCCGGAGAATAATTCAACCAAGGTCTCTCTGATCAACATAGGACTTGGGTTTGAATGTCTGACCTCAAAATCTATTTCACAACTTACTAGCTATTATTCATCAAAGAAAAAAAAGTTTCCTGTTAAGTTTCAGGGTTTTACACACTCAGTTTGTCAGTCCAGGCTGAATAGTTTTACCTGCACCGAGCATTTTTTTCATCACCCCTAAATAACGAATATTCGTTATGAGATTCAGCTTTTATCTATGCCTCTCTTTATAAAAATGCCCATTGGCATTCTAAAACTTTGTAAAATCTCTCTGCTGCCCTGGGTAGGAAAAGCCTAGAACTCCCTTTGCTCTAACTTTAATTCTAAAGGTGTTGGAAACTGCGATATTTTGCTTTGTTTTGAGGGAGTAGGACAAAGGTGGTTCAGTTAACCGGGAGGCTTTTTGGACAGCCTTTGACAAGCAATTGCTCCTGAGTGCAGATCCTACTGCAGAGGAGGTTCAAGGTGAACTTCTGACCCGATTCTAGGGAGCCGTGCTTGGTCCCGCCCCACGGAGGCGTGGCAGGGGTGGGGCGGGACGCGGTCTCGGGTTATAGGACAGGGAGGGCGCTCGCGGGACTGTAGTCCATTCGAACCCGGACGCGAGGTTCACACGGGACCCTCTGGACTGCGCAGGACATCGCAGGCGCCGGAACCTTCCGACCGGGCTATGGCGGCCGCTCCGGGCGCCCGACTCCTGCGCGCTGCCTGTGCCTCCGTCGCTTTCCGTGGCCTGGACCGTCGCTGGCTGCTGGTCTGTGGGCTCCGCGCGGGAACTGCGGTCCCTCAGTGGACCCCGAGTCCGGGCGTGCTCGCAGAGGCGGGACGGGGGCGGCCGCTGAGCGTGTCTGCACGCGCGTGGAGCAGGTGAGGCGCGGCGGCGAGCGGTGGGTCCTAGCGTCCCGCGGCCTGCGTTTCCGCCCTGGGCTCCCTTCCGCCTCATGACGCCAGCGTTTTCGGGCCTGGCTAGGGCGGTGTGGGGCACTTGTCCCGGGGCTTCCTCGGTGGGGTGCCCGTGTCGACTTTACCGTTGTGATTGTTCTCCTGGCAAGGCTGGCACACACTGGCCTTTTGTGCTGCCTTCCGCTAGGGAAGGGTTAGGAGCGCCTGCCTAGTGGGAATTAGGTAAGGTAGGGTTTAAACCCGCACCGACTGAACTTCAGCCCCTGTAGACCTAGAATGACAGTGTTGCCCTTACAGGATGGTTTAAGGGATAAATGACTTCGTACAGGTGGCCTTGGTTTCGCACCTGGTTGAAAATGAGGGCTCAGTAAGCAGATGCTTCTTAGCAACGGTTTTGGGGGCAATAGTGTAGAGAATTCTGTACTAAACGTTCAGAAAGTTGAAAAGATCCCCACAGTGTACGATTTATGTGGGGTGTATTGTTTTTTAAAGGCATTGCACCCTTGGGTTTACTAAACATAAAATTTACTTAAAGTTTCTGGGTGTGGCGACATGTTGAGAATTATATAATGTCAGTGGCAATACAAAACATAGCTGCTGCTTTCAAAGGAAAGATGAAAGCTTTTTCAAAGCCAAACATGAGTGCCCATGGTCTGGAAATACAGATTAACATTTCCATGAATCGTATGTTTCTCTATGGAAGAACTCAGCTCCACTTTTGTAGTCACAGGCCCAAAGAAGGTCACAAATCAATGTATTTGTAAAACATGTTGAGAGTATATCAAATGGATTATAGGATTTTGAACCTATCTTACATCTTTAGTGTTAGGATTGGAAGCTGATGGTCTATTAGGACTACACATTCCAAAACTTACTTATCTGGAAATCATAGAACTCAGAAACAGTGTTTGATAATACATGACCATGAAGGGTGTCAACAATAACCCCAGATAATTTTGGCTGTTTCTAGATCTATGGCAATCCATCTTTTCATAACCACAAATGTCTGTGGTGTATCTGTGTGCAGGATATTCAACACAGATATGGCTTCTTCCGAGAACTTCTGATCATAGAGATTCCTGCCAGCTGTTTAACTCCAGAGTAGAGGATTTGTGCACCCCCCTCCTCCCTCTCCCTCTCCCTCTCCCTCTCTCTCTCTCTCTCTCTCTCTCTCTCTCTCTCTCTCTCTCTCTCTCTCTCTCTCTCTCTCTCTCTCTTTCTGTGTTTTGCATGAAGTAAGAGGGAAATCATGGGAACCATTCGGTCCTATTTCCCCTGGTCCCTCTGACTATTCATCTGTGAATGCCTTAATTTCTATGGTAGATGCTTTCTGGATTGAAGTTGTGACATATTGAATATGATCAGTGTAACTAGTATATAAGGGAACTTAAATGGTTTTGCAAATTGATTCCCACGATTTTGTTGTTAGGTTTTGGATACTGTGATTCTTGACACAGCCATTGGAGCTTCAGGTAGATTTCCCAGCTCTTAGTATGCCAGACTCTTGCTGTTAAGACAGCAGCTCCCAGTCATATGAAGTTATTGAGCATTAAGAAAATTGAAGCCAAGTAATATTTACAGTTCTGTTTTGTAGTTATGCTAGCTACACATTTCGAGTATTTAGCATGTGGTGAGTGACTACCGTGTTTGGCATTGCCAGTATAGGACATTCCTGTTTAAATCCAAAGTCATGTTGGACAGCAATTCTAGAAGCTCAGTTTCAAGTTCCACATCTGTATAAGCTCTCAATAAGTGAATGTTGAAAAGCTTTTGTTTCCAAATACCCTGACATAGTACTTGATATTTTGCAGTAATTTGATTACAAAGGGCTTCAACATATATTACTTGTCTGTACTTTTAAGACAGTCCTGTGAAGTAGCTAGGTAGGTGAGCGGACATAAAGTTTCATATTACCTAGCTGGCAAAACTAGGCCTAGACCTTGAGTAGGTTTTGTGCCACATAGCAGGGGACAATCTTTCTTCTTGTAATGCTGTGGTGGTTGTAACCAGGGCCCTCTTTCCTGTCAGGTGTGTGAGCTACCGCAAGGCTGGTAGCTCATATTCCATGAGTCATTTCAGAGAGCAAAGGTGATAAGGGAAGGAGGGAGCCATAGATTGGCCCTTTTTCTGTGCCTGGGCCCGGAGTTATATAGTGGAAAAGTAAGAGTTATCAGCTTGTGGGTATCGATCCATTTGGAAGTTCTAATGACCCTTTCACAGGGATCACTCAAGACCATTAGAAAGTATAAATATTTACATTACAATTTGTAACACTACAAAATTACAGCTATGAAGTAGCAATGAAAATAATTTTATCGTTGAGGGTCACCACAACATGAGGAACTGTATTGGGAAGGTTGAGAACCACTGTTTTACCCCATTAAATCCGGGGAGACCTATAGGACTTACAGCCTTATTAATGTCTGCTGGGGTTGACTGAGCAAAACAAGTAGCTCTTTAATTGGTGATGAAGGTTTAGAAGGATTACATTTATTCTGCTACTTGAAATCTTTTTTTGTTTGTTTGTTTTGTTTTTTGGTTTTTCGAGACAGGGTTTCTCTGTGGCTTTGGAGGCTGTCCTGGAACTAGCTCTTGTAGACCAGGCTGGCCTCGAACTCACAGAGATCCGCCTGCCTCTGCCTCCCAAGTGCTGGGATTAAAGGCGTGCGCCACCAACGCCCGGCTGCTACTTGAAATCTTACTTAGTTCTTAGGAGGAGGTGTGGGGGGTGGTCTGTACAATTGACAAATCAGTCATTGAGTGTGAACAGACAGACATTAACTCTGGGCAAGTATATGTGTATAAAGTAGACGTTAACTCTGGGCAAGTATATGTGTATAAAGTACTTCCACAAACTTCCTCTATTTTAACTGTTCAACTTGTTAAATTAAAAACAGTTTAACCCAGGGCTAAGGACGTAGCTCAGTTAGTAGAGTGCTTATGTATATGTGAAGAAGCCTCGTTTGATCCCTAGGACCATGTAAAGTGTGGGGGGTGACGTACCCCAACATTTGAGAGGTGGAGCAGGGGGATCAGAAGCTCAAGGCCAGGATAAGTAGGGTTCAGTAAAACAAAAAAAAAGTCTTTTAATGCTTTAAGAGTGGAGTCACTACTTTGTTTTATTTATATATAGGAGTGGTTTCCATGGTCACTTCCTTAAAAGTGCATGTTAGAAACAAGACCAGAAGCTGTGTCTTCTGGCTTAGGTTCTATGCTATTTCTCTTGAAGAATTACCTTTCCCTCTCATTTGTGCTCCTTCCTTTAGCAAATCAATTACTAATCTTAGCATTTGTTAACTAGGGTTCCATGCCTTTTGTACAGTGGTTCTCAACCTTGGTAACACTGTGACCCTCTAATACAGTTCCTCATGTTATGGTGACTCTAACCATAACATTATTTTCATTGCTACTTCATAACTGTAATTCTGCTACTGTTATGGATCGTAATGAAATATCTGCTATGTGATATCATATCTGTGAACCGCTGCTCTTATACATATTAGCAGTCCAGGTTCCTAGCAATAGAAAGAAATTTTGGGGGTTTTAAATAAAAGTTACTGATCTGTGTTTGAGTTCTTCTATGACTTAGGCATTTCGAATATTGTCAAACTATAAGATAAATGTCTTGACGAGAGACTGATATTAAAGTGATTTGGAATTCCTTTGTTATAAGTTTAGCTCTTGTGTGTTCTAGAATGGCAGTCCTAAAGCCCCTGGTTTTAAATAATTCCATAATCATCCTCCCCCATTTACTGTGGCTAGCCTTCCAGGATTTTTCCATGTCATATCTCTCTGATTTATATTGCCATATGGCTTGGGGACCGTCCCATCTGGTATTTTAAGTATTAAAAGCCAAACAAGTTCTAAATGTTAGCTCATTTTCAGTTTCCACAAAGCTCTTTCTCTTAATCTTGGTAATCCTAAATTAATCCCAATTGCCCAAGATGAAAATGTCAACCTCTCTAACTGTGTGTGATGGGGGTGGGGTGGGGAGGAGCATGGTATGCACACACGTCTTAATAATATATAAATGAGCCGGGCGGTGGTGGCGCACGCCTGTAATCCCAGCACTCGGGAGGCAGAGGCAGGTGGATCTCTGTGAGTTCGAGGCTGGGCTGGACCGACGGCCTCGAAAACAATACAGAGAAACCCTGTCTTGTAAAAACCAAAAAAAAAAAATATATATATATATATAAGTATATATAAATATATAAATGAATTCCTAAAGTTTCCATTTTGCTATGGAATCTAATTGGCTCAAGTCATTGCCATTGCCCTACATGCTTTTTTAATATATGTTTTTAGAGAATCTCCTAGCCTTGAGGGCTTTGTCATTCTTAGCTGTTTTACCGTGAGGAAAGAGCATAGCTGTTGAGTAGTTTAGAGTGGCAGTTCCCCAGCGTGAGGGTATTTGTCTTACAGAGCTTAGGTTGGAACTGAGGCATAGAAGAACATTACTCTGACTCCATCTTTGAAGCCTTGCAAAGAGTTTCTTTTTGTGTCTTTTGACCTTGATACCTGCCCTAAGGTTGGGCCTTTTAAATCAGCAGGATCTTTTATCCAGGGTCATATCGATACAGCATCATCCCCCGGGGGGGGGCGTTCATCTGACTTATATGTGAATTCTGATGATTGGATTTGCACTTCTGAAGGATATTTCTAGCCCTGAAATTACTTGATTCTACTTCTAGGGATGTTGGCTTTTAGGGTTGGGTAGCTATTGCCATCTATTGTCAGTGGCTAAAAATCATAACTGATTAAAGTGCTGGGGGTGGAGGAGAAATCTCCAGGTGTTAGTATAAGGTCTTGCCCACATTTTAAATGATGTTTGGTAGAAAGGAAAGCAATTTAGATTTACTAGACGATTGATAACATTAAAAACACATGCAGTGGTATGTTTCTTTCCAGAATTCTGTTAGTTTGGAATACATCACGTGGACTAAAATGAAATGTTCAAAAGTAAATCAACTGCTCCCTGGATCAGATTGTCACAACCAGACACCTACATAGTCGTGACCTTGTGGCTAGCAGAATGATTTGCCTTTTTGAAACTGACCACAAATAACCTTGAACTTGTCTCTTAGAGCTATGGTCACAGAGATATTGTTTATCTAAGAGCTTGCAAAAACAAAATAGGTTTCATGAACTGAGAGTGTAGCTCAGTGGTCAAGTGTGTGCTTAGCATGTGTTAGGGTCTGGATTTAATCCCCGGCATGAAAATCAAACCAGAATCACTGTTGCCACCACAAAACCCAGTAGACTTCCTGGGTGGTAATGATTGCTGAGTGTTTCAGAGATCTGTGACAGGTGGGTAGACAAAAGTCCACAACCCACCAGACTGCTGGATCCGGAAGTAGTTTTTATTTCTTTTAAAGTGATAGAGCTTACACTCAGTAGGTGGGGTAGAAGGATAGACCTTGGGTTTGTGCTGTCTTCTTCCTTCATGTGTATTTATTCATTTGGCCTTGCAGATTAAGATTAAATTTTTCCTATTTGTTTACTTTTGTGGGAGTTATGTTGATGATGTGTTGTGGGTATCCATGACACATATGTAGAGGTCAGATAACCATGTCTTGGAATGAGTTCCAGGGAATCCAACTCAGGTGGCCAGGCTTTCATGTAAGAGCCTTTGTTTGATGAACTATCTCCCTGACCTTTAAGTTATATTTTGAAATTACTAAAAATATTGAAATGCTGCTTCCTTTCTCAGCTCAGAAGATAAGATAACAGTCCACTTCAAAAACCGTGATGGCGAAACACTAACGACCAAGGGAAAAATCGGTGACTCTCTGCTAGATGTTGTGGTTGAAAATAATCTAGATATTGATGGTTTTGGTAAGTGTTCCTGAAACTTCCAAGGTAAACTTCTGAATAGGTTTCAAGGTTTTTTGTTTGTTTTACCTTTTAAACTATAACATTCTCTGTAAATATTGTCATTTAGGGCTTGTTAATATTTTTTGTTTTGCCCGTTGGTGGTAGCTCATGCCTTTAATCCCAGCACTCGGGAAGCAGAGGCAGCAGATCCCTGTGAGTTCGAGACCAGCCTAGTTCCAGGACAGCCTCTAAAGCCACAGAGAAACCCTGTCTTGAAATACCAAAAAAAAAAAAAATTATTTGTAAAGATTATTAGAGAAGGGGCTGGAGAGTTGGCCCAGTGGTTAAAACCACATTCTGCTTTTCCAGAGGATCTGAATTCTGTTCCCAGCACCCAGGTCAGTTGGCTCATAATTGCCCTAAATTCTGACTCCAGGGCATTCTACACCCTCTTCTGCCAACACTGCACACATATGGCATACACTCAGGCAGAAACATACTCACATAAACATATAAAAAACTCAAGATGGATAATAGAGTGGCACTGTTTTTTACTTTTAGAAGAGAATTTAAATAGCTATGTGACTGAGAAATCGATTGTGGCCTATTGCCCACTGTTCACCTGTGCTGCAAGCCAGCGAGTGTGGGACAAGTGGAAGACACAGGTCAGAGGTGGGCACACCATAGCACAGAGCAATTCTGGAGAGCTTCCATCTAACTTTAGATGTCATCCTACCTTCTTCTCAGGATGGATAACATAGTCTAAAGAAAAGCAGTGTGTAGAAAGTTTTCATTTCTTTACTTCTGACCACATTGTCTAACCACATGTACAAAGCTGGTGTTTCCAAACTTTCATATCACACCTTGGGGAAGCACTGACTATGTCTAAATGGTTCTTTGCTGAGGGTTCTTTGACTCATTGCCATCTTTGTCACCTGAGAAATGCAGATGTTTGTGCTCATACACAGGTAAAAGATTCACATACATAAAAAATAAAATAAAAATATTTTTCAAAATACGCTTTGGTCTGTAATACAGCCTGACTGTTTTGCTTCAGGCCCTCACTGGGTTGATCAAGATGCACAGCTTGGTAAGAGCGGTGGTGGTGTGGCATTTTAGCCCTATCGCATCCCATTCTGTGAAACAGCAACAAGCTCCCAAGATGACGTGCAGTGCTCAGCTGTCAGAGCTCACCATGACTCCTCCCTGCCTCCCTTGAGCAAATATTCTCTTCTTCCAGTTTCCAGGCTTGGTCAATTTTCATTTTCCTAGAATCTCCTCCCTCCTCCCGCAACACACACACCCAATCTGTAGCATTCTTGAGAAGTAGCAACCCTGCAATTCTGTTGTTGATGAATGAAAACTGTCCCCTGTGTGGCTCCTGGAAGGCAGACTGGGTTCAAAGTACTCAAAGAAGTCCCATTCCCAGAATATTGTCATTGTTATCATTGCTTGTAGTTTCTTAGAAGAGCTCCAGTCCAGAGAGTTCCTTGATCCTCCTTGCAGGTTGTTGTGTGATGAGATCTTTGTCTATAGAGCATTCGCCTAAAATGATCAGCTTTGTCGGTTTGTGATGCTAGTTGGGGTGAGGGAGAAAGCCTAGCTACACATTGAAAGGAATACCCACAGAGCGAGATGCCCATAAGAGGCTTTAAGAGGCTCTGGGGATCGAGAAGATACAGACTACTCTCTCATCTCTGGCTGACAGAGAGGGCTCTTACAAGCAAGATTGAAGACTAACATTCAGATTGCTTGGTTGTTGATGTATTTGCCTAGTCACCTGAGCCTCTTGGCAGAACATGGGAAGCCTCTTGGCACCAGACATGTAAACCTTTGGCCACTAAGCTGGGAGTCACTCTGAGGAATGTGAGCTTTAGAGGATTTGTCTAGAACAGTGACTAGATAACATAGCAGTGACCACCAATGAGAGCAACTTCAGTACACTCAGGCAGGGTGAGCTCCTTGTTCCCAGTTTCCACATTGTGGTATCTGCCTGTGTGTATAAAAAGAAATTCAAGATACATGAAGAGCAAGGTATGGCCCTTACTTGGAAAACAAACAACTGTTAACAAGGAAACCCAGATGTTAGACTTATCAGACAATTTTTGTTTGTTTGTGTTTTAAATAGGATTTCTCTGTGTAGGCCTAGCAGTCCTGGAACTAGCCAAATTATTAAGTCAGGTTTGAAAACTGTATGACAGTGTTCTTCGTCATGTTCTAGACTTATACATCTATATGTGTGGAGGCTGTTAGTGCTCTGTGAGAGCATGCAAAAGAAATTGCATTCTAGCCTTTGAGAACACTTAGATAAAAGCTATAACCGAATGAGGCTATTTATGTCATTTTCTCTGCAGACTCACTTTCACTTTTAGGAAGAGACACTTGTCCTAGGCAATTTACTACAGAGATGTTTCTAATAGCTTGCCATCTACAGAGAACAGATATGAAGTCATAGACTGTAAGGCTGTATAGTTGTTTAAGACAATTCAATAGGAGTTTTAAGAATTAAATATCAGAAGGAAGGTTTTTGTTTTTTTTCCAGACAGGGTTTCTCTGTGTAGTTTTTGGAGCCTGTCCTGGAACTAGCTTTAGTAGACCAGTCTGGTCTTGAACTCACTGAGAGCCGCTTGCCTCTGCCTCCCAAGCACTGGGATTAAAGGCATGTGCCACCACCACCCAGTCCCAGAAGGAAGTTTTGGTTTTTGCTGCAAAAGTCCCTCTTCTGTAGGTTGCTTTTCTGTTGCTGTGATGAAACACCTGGCCACTATATCTCGGGATGGCCTTGAGATGATGTATCTGACTCTGGCCTTGCAATGATGTATCTGAGGCTGGATTTGAATGTTTTCCATCTGTGTGTACTGGGAATATATGAGCCACCACCTGGTTTCTGTCATGCTTGAGAGTAGAATTGAGGTGTCATGTATGCCAGACAAGCACCCTACCACCTGAGATACATTCCCAGCTCCAGTTTATTGGCTTCTAACTAGTATTTTAGAGAAATAAAAAATTGCTGTGAAATACCAATTTTATAAAGTGTTTGTATACGATTAAATTCATAGTGTGTGTCAAGGTTGAAACAATATTTTCCCTATCAACTCTTTTTTGGTGTGGTAGGGTAGAGTTTTCCTGCCTAGGTTTGTCTAGTCCACCACTCTCACAGTATTGTGACTTTGAGCTAGGATCCTGACTTCTTACCTTGTCTTCTCACCTGTAGAAGGGAGCTAATATTAGTATATACCCCATAAGATTTCTGTAAAGATCAAATGAGTTAATTCAAGTGTTCAAATGCATCAGGATCTTTTCTGTTGTGTTAAAAACACCCTTGACCAAAAACGACTTATGGAAGGAGTTTCTCTTGGTTTACTACAGGTGCAGGTGGGATATCCATAATAGAGAAGGAGACATGGCAGCAGGTGGCCATAGCAGGCAACTCACAACCACAGATGTGAAGCAGAAGGAGTGAATTGGAATTGGGGGAGGCTGCAAACTCTCAAAGCATGATGCAGTGACATTCTTCTTCCAGCAAGGCTGTACCTCCTGAAGGTTCCATAACACCCCACCCCAACCCAGACAGTATCACCTGTTAGGATCCATGTGTTCAAACACCTGAGCTCCACACATGGCTGAGTCCATGCTTCCTTCCGTGTCTGCACATGTGATCTCATCCTTTCTGTGGCCTTAAGTCCTTCCTAAATGCCAATAGAGATTAAATTTACATCTTTGGCTCAGTTTTCTCCTCTGAACTTAAACTTGAAGATTCAGCTCCCTATTTTACATTTCTTTTGGAAATCCCAAAGGTATTTAAAGCTCAAATATTTGATTTTTTTCAACATGTATTTATCCCTTCCAACACATGTGTATAATATTTGTGTGTGAGTGTAGGCACACACATGCTATAATACATGTGTGGAGGGCTGAGGACAGGTTGAAGGAGTTAGTTTTCCTTTTCCACCATATGCATTATGAGCATAAACTCAGGTCATCAACCAGATTTGGCAACAATTGCCCTTACCCACTGAGCCCTGTTGTGGCTAAGAATGATATTTCTAAAACAGCTTTTGATCCCATCCTTCTCCTAAAGCAGCCTTTCCTCCAGCATTTCCTATATCAGTAATGAGCACTGTCCAGCCACTGCAGCCTGAAATCCAAGCAGTATTTGTTTTCCTGAAGATCCAGCACATCAGCACCTACTCTAACCCTCCAATAGCTCCTCTTGACTCCATCCTTATATTTATTACTTGGCTCTGGTAAGCCATTGCACACCTGGTCCTGTGAACCTGCTTCTGATTCTGAGCCTTGCAGCTGGGGTGATTGCCAGGACACACATCAGCTATGTCTGTTCTCTGATTAAAACCACAGAGGACTTCCCAATGCACTTAGGACTAAATCTGGATTCCTCATTGGCCTAAAAGGCTACACATGATATTCCTCTCACTGCTCTCCCACGCTTCTCCATGCCTCCTTTTCCTTCTTCCTGTTTTGGCAATGCTGATCTCTTAGAAGCTTGAACTCACACTAAACTCACACCTTTGAGACCTTGTGTACACTTTTCCCTCTGCTGAGACGGGGTCTTCTCTCTCCCATCCCACAAATGCTTATTTACTATTCTGTGTCTATTAAGCCTGTTTGTATTACTGTCAGGCTGCAGTAGCTGGACAGTGCTCATTACTGTCATACAGGGGAAATATGTAGCAGATGATGACAAATGCTGAGGAAGAAATGACTGGATTCGGGGATGTATGGTATTGGGTTCAGGTAACAAAAGAAATCCTCCTTTGCCCAACCACCCAGGACATAGTAGGGCTTCTCTTGTTACTCCAGCCCATTATGAGCTTGCTTTGCTTGTAATACCCAGTCTGCAATAGTTTGTCATTGTCTGCTCTGTCTCATTGCCTTGTCTCATGTCATCCATTCATAGCATTTACCACATTTTAGTAATAACATTGATTCGCTCCTGTGACTTTCGTCCATTTGACTCTGAGAAGAGATACAGTCATTCTTAGTTTATTCATTGTTGTGTGTGAAGGGATGAGTAAATGGATGTATCAGAATGGACAGTTGCTAACTTGGGAAGCAATACAATGCATCAGTATTCTTGCTACCAACTTTTATGTTAATAATCTTTTCAGTATTGTGTGTTGCAGTATTCTTCCACTTGGGGGCAGTTACACATCTGTGATTAAATTTATCTAGCTTCTTTCAAACTTCTTTCTTCTGTAGTTTTCATGTGCCTATTTTATGATAAGAGGTTCCAGTAATGTTTATAGAAGTCTGTATTTCTGCTTCCCTTACACTTACTGTTGTTTTTCTGATATGCTTCATCATCCTTTGGGCAATACAAGTTCACATTTTCAGTGTGTAACTTACCACACAGCTGTATTCTAGGTTTCATTTAGGAAAGGGGTTAGGTGTGAGGGTGACCCACCTTTCTTTTCAGCATCATAAGTGAACAAAATGACCCTCATACAAGACTCACATGTAGACAACTTCCTGTCAGCAGCACTCAGATTTCATAAATGGAAAGAGAAGATTTCATATATTTGTAACAGTGTACTTTTATTATTTCTATTCGTTCCTACATCTCTCTAACTTCTTTTAGTGTACCCTACCCTATCTTCCTCTTAACTTCATGTCCTCCTTCTTTTGATTACTAATTACCCCCTGAGATCAATTAGTGCTGCTAATGTGGGATGGGTATAGGGCCATCCATTGGGGTATGGACAACCTACCAGTGTCATATCCTCAAAAGAGCATGAATCTCTTTTTCTCAGCAACCATCAACTGCCAGTAGTTCTCCTGCCAAGGGTGGGGCCTCACAGGCCCCTCCTGCATCCATGCTGGCATTTGGTCTGGCATGATCTTGTGCAGGTAGTCATAGTTGCTGTGAGTTGGTGTGTGCAATAACTATGTCATGTCCAGATGTCAGCATTTCACAGAGTTCCTCCTCAACCAGTGCTTACAGTTCTTTCTGCCCCCTCTTCCATAATGTTCCCCGAACCTTACAGTTGTTTATATTGGCTCTTTGACCAGTTAGGAGGCTTCTGCATTAATCACTCACTGCCTACCGCCAAAACAAGCTTTGCCGGGTGGAGGTGATGGCACACACCTTTAATCCTAGTACTCAGGAGGCAGAGACAAGCAGATATTTCTGAGTTTGAGGCCAGCCTGGTCTACAGAGTGAGTACCAGGACAGCCAGGACTGCACAGTGAAACCTGTCTCAAAAACAAAACAAAACAACAACAAAAACAAATAAAAAGGAAAAACAAGTTTGTCCCACTGGAGTTGAGAACAAGAGCAACACAAATCAGAGGTTCTGAACACCAATATTTAGAAGACCGTTTGACAGCTAAACAAATAAGCAAAACAACAACAGTAAATTCCTAGGGCCTGTAATTTCAATCAGATTTACAGGACTCCCTTCTGTGAAGCCAAATTAAAATCCAGTTGGAAAGTTGTTGGTTACCCCATGACACAACAGTCATGCAAGTATTGCACCAGTGTGCACGTATTGCCAGTCTGGTTAGTATTGTAGCATGCAGGGTCTAGTGCTGGATGAGATCATTGATATCCCCCACCTTCCCCCAACAGCCTGAGATTTCTCATCATTTCCAAATAGTAATTATCACAACCTGCCAGATACGTTGCCAATGTATATTTATTTGTACTCACGATTCTTGTAACTTCCAGGTGAAGTTGGTATAGTTACTATTAAAATACCTGAAGCACAGAGAGTAAAGAAGCCTACCATGCATGACATAGTAAGCAGAAGAGGTGGTTAAAGGCAGGGAATCTGGTGCCTCATTACTTGGATCCTCTTGAGGCTATCAGCTATCACTGTTTTTAAGTGGCCTTAAAAAACTAGAGTGTTCTCTCTCTCTCTCTCTCTCTCTCTCTCTCTCTCTCTCTCTCTCTCTCTCTCTCTCTCTCTCTCTCTCTCTCTCTCTCTCCCCCACCCCCATTCTGGTGCATGGTATGAAGTACCTACCTTGTTGAGGCAGGTTTCCTTGTTTCTGTTTCTGCTGCTATGTTGTATGTATACTCCAGGCTATCTGGCTAGTGAACTTCTGGGTGATCTTATGTACAAATGGGTGTGTATATGTGTGTGTAGAATCAAGTATTTGCTCTAAAAATGTTAATGATTTGTTATCATTGTATGTTTATAGACCTGTTTTATTTGCCTGTATACCTGTGGTCACTTAGAAATTTCTCACTTGAAAATGGGTCATGAGTGGAAAAGTTGAGGAAACCTTGGCTTATATAGTTGGGTTTCTTTGTGGGGAGTTTTCCAAATGAAGTCTGAGACCGTTTCTTAGAGTCTGTCTTGATTTGCTTGGATGACATGATTTTGTGAGTTTACTTTGTGCGGTGCCTGGCACGTAAGAGGAGCTGAGTAAATAACTGTTAAATTAACAGTTTAAAAGCAATAAGAAGCCAGCAAGATGGCTTCTCAAGTAAAGGCACTTGACACCACATCTGGTGACTAGCATTTGATCACAGAGACATGTGCACAAGCATTCACAGCACACACGTATAGTCAATACATAATTTAAAAATGCATTATCTAAATCTGTGGTGTATCTTAAAATGTCCTGTTTGTTAGGTCTGATTACTCAGAGGATTGAGAGGGAAGAATATTTAGCTTTATTTAGGTGTAGGGTTGCTGTCTTGGATAACACTAGTCATTATCAGTTGCTTTGAGTCTCTCAAGGTAAGGTGAATTATGTACATATGACTATATACATTGCTTTATATATTTAAGAATACATCTTTATGTGTATGTGTCTCAGTTCTGAACTTGGATATATTTTAGTACTAGAATTGTATGGCCTTCATGGTCCCCTCACAGTACCTCTTTGTGAAGTATTGTGTGAGTGTCTTCAGACAGTGTGTGGGCTTGAGGAGAATCTGTTTCTGGCTTGTGGTTATTCAGTAATGAAATCCTTCCATTTAGTACTAAAGCGGATTCTGAAATATAGAAGCTTTTCAGAGCAACCATGTGTGCACTGCTGCGGTGCACAGCATGTTCAACCTCTGCTGCTCTTACAGGTGCTTGTGAGGGAACTTTGGCTTGCTCTACCTGCCACCTTATCTTTGAGGATCATATATATGAGAAGCTAGATGCCATCACTGATGAGGAAAATGACATGCTTGACCTGGCTTATGGACTAACAGACAGGTGAGTAGATTTTGTTGGTTAGTTTTGTTTGAAGGACAGGATTTTAACTGTTGGTCAGGGTGGTCTCACACTTGTGTGTGCTGAGATTACAGGCATAAGGCATAATGTCTGAACTGTCAGGTAAGACTTTAAGGCTGCTTCACTGTTGCTGACAGCCTGGGAAAATCTGCATTATATTCCTTTGGGTCTAAGATCCTACCTATGAGTAGAAGTGCCTTTGTAGGAAGATAACAGTCATGAAGTTTGAACATCCTTTGGGAGCATTCCTTTTTCACTGTCCACAATTGGCCTCCATGAAAGTTCCCTTTTACAAAAGTCAATTAATTGATAGTGATATAATTTCTAAATCCTAATACATCTTCCTTAGTCTATTTTTATGCCAGGAATTAGTATTTATACAATATCATAGGATGAAATTAAGTGGAATGCTTTTAATACTATTCTTGAAGGACAGATTTGATAATTGAACAAAATTATAGTGGAATTTTTTACCTGTCTTAGAGAACTGAGTTTCAAAAAAATTTAATATATAATAGTAATTATGTTAAGGTGAGTAGTTCTTTTTCTAAGTGTATATTAAAGTAAATTAGTCAGAGCTTATTAATTGGTAGGTAGAATTTCTTCTGAACATGGCGAGCTTCACAGTAGCAGGTGGCATTAGTGATACTATTTTTAATTATCCAGTCTTAGAGTCAGGAAGCCTTCTTCATGATTTACTGTTTCGAGGCATAATTAAGGAGGCTTATTGCTTACAGAGTGGGTTTTGTTTAACTGTATTTTGCTACCTTAATGAAGGATAACTTCTTAAAAACTTTATTAGCTTACATGTTCTAGGTTTCATATGGTGAGAATAAATTTTAAGCAATTATAGTGATAATGGTTTTATTAATTTCAGTTTGTTCCTTTTATAGTTCATCTCTCCCTATTTTCTGTTCTGTTTGGTTTTGGGTATTGAGGGCCTTGCCCATGCTAGCCAAAGAACCTTGCCTGCAGGTCAGCTGTGTCCCTAGCCTCCACCTCCCTTTTATGGAGGTGAGACTAATAGAACACCCCGGAAAGAAAGACAAGAGTGTCATCCCTGTTACATCCAGGCTTGCTGTGCTGCTGCCCTGACCCATGGGTGTGTGCTTGTTCTCCCCTCTCTGGCCTGCAGTACTCTGCTTCGCCTCACTGACAGTCGCTTTCCTTTCTAAATTAACAGTTCCTTAAAGGCCAGCATTGTCTTACTCATCATATATGAACATGTGGAGTGTCTGTCTCCCTGAGGCCTCCCAAGTCCTGTAAAATATGTATTGCCTTGCCATGGTTTTTGCTCTTGCAGATAGAGCTTGATGTATATTGTCAAGACTGTTTCTAATTCTACAAAGGAAGACTACTGATGGGAGGTGATTTTTATTTTTTTCCCAACCATCAACATTCCCTTATTCCTGGACTCCTTATTCTTTATTCCAGGCTGCTTTTTTCCTGGACTCCCCAGTGGTGCCTCACTATATCTAAATTTATGTGTGTTGCCTCGGCTACTTTTAAAACTATAGTTTTCCATGCAATTTTTCTTTTTCTCCTTTTTTTTTTCTCAGAGGAGGGAGTTGGCATTCAATTGGGCCTTTAGCACATTAGGCAAGTGCTCTGTCACTGAGCCATACCCAGCCCATTTCCTGTCCTTGCCAGTGCTTCACAGCAGCAAGCTGAAGCACCCCCTTTACCTGAGATCTTCTCAAGTTCCCTGCCTCTTACTACATGTGAAATCTCACCCACCATCTGTCCTGCTCACAAGTATGGCTTTCTCCTCAGAGGGGCTTCATTTTCTCTCTGTTTGTGTGGCATTTGCCATAGTCTCATCTCATCTGTCTGTCTGAAAGTTCACTCCATACTGTTGACATTAGCGATTAGTCTCTTCAGTAGTCCTGTGAAGAAGTCTTCTATTCTCTATCTTGATGCTCAGCTGAGGAAATAATAGAGAGTCGCCTGTGAATACACTGTTACTGGTGGTTTGGGGCCGCTGGCCAGTTTTCTCTAGATCCTGTGCCTTCCTCTGAATACCACTCAAGTGCCCAACATGTGTTAATAAGAAAGCATTGAATCGAGTACTCCGTGTATACCCAGTAACATATAGTACAGTTCCCATTGACATTTAGTAGTACACCAATTGACATTTAGTACTGTACCATTGACATTTAGTGGTAGAAAATTTTACCATTATACATTCAGCAAATGCTTATTGAATTCATTAATGAAGCCAATGCCTTAAACATGTTTTGTCAAAGACAGTTTGATTGTAAGATTAACCTTTTTGTTTTTCTTTTTTCCAGTATTGGGAATTGAGCCCAGGGCTTTGCACATGCTAGGAAAGTATTTTACACTGAGCTGTATCCCAGCTCTTTATTTACTTTTTAAATTTTGAGATGGAATTGAAGTTAAATCCAAGCTGGAATTCTTACTCTTCAGCCCCGGCTGGCCCTCAGCTTGCAGTCCTCTTGTCTCAGCCTCCTAACATAGAGATTTGCATCTACTAGGTTCCTCTAGTGCTGGTAATTTTGGTTTTATAATACTCTTGGACTTATTTCAAAAGGTCAAACAATTTGGAATCAAAATACTTCTCTTACTCAGTTGGAGACACTGGTATATTGTAGCCTAGCTCACAGCTATGACACAGCAGCCACCTCATGTAGCAGTGACTGTAAGATGCCATCCGCTTTAAGACGGACCTTGATTTCAGAGATGTGAAAAGTATGGGGGAATACATTCTTATGATTGATGGTGTGAGTCTGTTAATTTCATTCTAGGGATGATCCTGAACTCCTGAACTGCCTCCATATAAATGCTGGGATTACATGTGGTTGCCACCATAGTTGTTTGGTGCTAACCCTCTGCTGCCCTCTACTTGGCATGGATGGTGGTTTCTGCTTTGGCCTAATGAAAACTTGAAAGATTAGCAAATTCCCTAACTGTTTGGGGCAAGAAAGTATAAAACTATCATAAACAACTGCATGCTTGTGAATGACATGTATTCAGTACTAAACAGCCTCCTTCCTTTCCTTGCAGGTCACGGTTGGGCTGCCAAGTCTGTCTGACCAAAGCTATGGACAATATGACTGTTCGTGTGCCCGAGGCAGTGGCAGATGTCAGACAGTCTATTGACATGAGCAAGAATTCCTAAGATACAATAAAAGGAAATATTTTCATGAAAGTTTTACCTATTTTTATAATTATTTCTCAGTATAAGTAAATGATTACACAACAGAATGTATGTGAGTAGCTGTGCTGTCTTAATTCAGTTTGTAGTACTGAAAGACTGCAGTTTTATTTTGATTAACTTATTAAAATGTCAGTTTAATTTTAGAAGACGGCTGACATAATAAACTCCTTACACATTTTACCGTGTGTTCAGTGATTTTAGCAAAACATTTCTGTGTAATATTACATCTGCTTTCTTAAGAGGTAAGTTTAAAAAGAGTGTCATTGGGGCTAGAATTCAATTCCTAGCACCCACATGGCCACTCATGGTTTGCCATTCCACTTCTACCTTCCACAGACACACGTGCATCTGGTATATAGGTGAAACATTTACACACATGAAATACACATTTCAAGAAACAATTTTAAAAAAATTTATAATTGTTCTTATTTCATGTAGGCAGTAGATCTCCATCTAACATAGCTCGACCATGGTATAACCAGAGAGTCTGTGCTTCTGGCTGTCAGTTTTATGTTCAGACTGAAACTGGAGAAATTATGAAGATCTTAACTGAGGTTGGCAGAGCTGTGTTACAGAGGACATCATGTGACCTCTCAAACAGTACAGACACAAGACTACCCAAAACTGACTGTGACTGACATAGCCCACTGGAACCACTGCAACTGGTCCTTTTCTTCATGATAATGGCATTTCTGTATTATTAGCCTTAAAATAAATCTTTTTCTGTTGTCCACCTGGTACAAGGACATATTCAGAAACTCTACTTAGGGATAAAAGGGGTGAGAGTTAACCCTATTCAAGGGAAATCTTGATCTGTTCCTGGAATTCTGGAGTGTGCCTTAACCTAGGACTAATTTCCCCTTCCTTAAAATTTGCCTGTAATACAGTGTCTCAAATCCCATGCTACCCATCTCTTTCAGGAGCCTTCACTCACCTTTGGGTGTGTCCTTTTGTATTATAATAAAACTTTTCCTCAGTTCTTTCTTTGTCTTAAATTTGTTCTTTTGATGGCAGAAAGAACCTGGAAACACTGGAAAGATGCCTAAGTCTGCTCTGACTTCATCCACAGGCAGTGGTATGTATGGTAGTGTTTAAATGTATATGTGTGTGGAAAAGACACTTAATTGCTGAGCGAAACACTTCATTTCAAAGACAGCAAAACCTTATAAATAAATATTTCAAAATTTTGATTCAGTAAGAAGTATAATCTGAATATTGATGGAGACTTGTGTCTGCTGACTAAGCTAGGGGAATAAGCAGAAGTGGATGTCTTTATTCTCTGTTACAAGAGGAGTACTCTATCCATGTAATCTTTTGAAAATAATGTTCACATTGTTTCCATTTCATAGAATGGAAATCTAATGAATTACTTCTGTGTCTCCCCAGTCATATCATATGATCAGGGTGCCATGTTACATGACTCAGGGGACACTGTTCTGTCTCTCCTTGTATACAGTCTGCTCAACAGTGTGCAACAGTGCCAGAAACTAGTGTGTATCTTCAGCACACTGATACGTGATTGTGTATGGAAGATGTCTGTATCCTTATCTAAACCAAAAGTAAGTTCACAAAGTGAACACAGTGTGGAATCAGACAGACTGCCATTGCACTGTAAGACCACGTTGTGCTCTTTGTAGTTAAGCAATTGATTTTTGGAGAAAAGCAGAATAAGGGAGTGGGAAGGAAAAGCACAAGCATAGTTTGCTTTGAATACCCTACAGCAGTTTGTTCATTTGAATAAATATGGATCAAGTGTAAAACTTGACAAACAGCATCATCTTGATGGATGGAAAGATAGGACATCTCTCTCATGCCTCCTCCTCACAAGGTTTAGGGACTTAGCAATGGAAAGGAGACAGAAAGACTAAGAGCCTGAGGTGTAGGCATTGGTAGCAAAACAGAGCTCTTGCACACGTGAACCTACAGAAGCTGTCACTTGTTGCACAAGGTCAAGCTAGCCAAAATCTCAACATACTTCGAGGAAGGATAACTTGCTAATCCTCACTTCTAGCTAAGGAATTACTGGCAATTGATGGCTACTGCGGAGGGAAAATCAATTTTCCGAGGGATGTAGTCCTTGAGATGCTACCACACTGTGGTAGATGGTCCTACATCCATGCACATGCAGGCAACACCATTATTTTATATGTTTGAGTGTTGGCTTGCATGTAGGTCTGTGTACCATACACACACAGTGTCCTTGAAAGCCAGAAGAGGGAGTTGGATCCCCTGGAACTAGAGTTAGCACTGTGAGCCTCCTCATGGATACTGGGAGTCAAACCAGAGTCCTCTGCAAGAAGAGTCAGTGCTCCTAACCCCTGAGCCATCTCTCTAGCCTCTGACTCAGTGAGTTTTAAAAGATGAGCAAGCGAAGATGGGAAGAAAAAGTGGTAGAAGGGATAGGGAGCTTATTAGAGGAAAGAGAATGGGGAGTGGGTTTGATTAAAACACATGCATGCATGAGATTCCCAAAGAAAAAAAAGGATGACCAAGAGGCAGAATGCCCTCAAGGAGAGCAAAACAACTATATGCACACATAATTTCCTTGCCAAACTGATCAATTTGCCAATATTCTGTATTTGTTTATTTTTGCTGTTCCAACACAGGGTTTCTCTATGTTACAGCTCTGGCTGTCCTGGAACTCAGTCTGTAGACCAGGGTGGCCTTGAGCTCAGAGATCTGTCCACCTCTGCCTCCCAAGTGCTGGGATTAAAGGCATCTGCCACCACCGCCCAGTTTTATTTATTTTTTAAATTAATGCAGAAATAGACACTAGGAAGATCTTGAATCATCTCGTGTTTGTTTACTGCTTAGTGACTAGAATCCTTTTTATATGGAGCATGCTGTATTTTGAAAGTTCTTCCAAGCAATTTATTAATTAGCATTAGTGTTGTTCTATAAAGATCATTTAAACTCACCTTTCCAGAGCATTTTAACACTGATACACATCATGGTCTAAATTACCTCAAATTATGAAAGTTCAAACCAGATGAGGGCTATTGAATAACTGGTTTCTATAAGGATGAGTTTTCTAGTTAGAAAAAAGAACCCTTTAGTATTTGGAGCATGTGTATTCTAGGTATTACTGTTTTGGCTTCTCTGTTGGTATAAATAAGTTTTCCCAAAAGTTCAGTGTTGTCAAACAATATCTTTTATTTCTTCAGGAAGCTTCTGTAAGCCAGGAATGTAGATGGCAAGGAGTGAGATGGTCTGTCTGCTACCCTATGTCTGGGGTCCACACTGTGGATAGAAAGTTGAGGTACTGTATCCTAGTTTGGCTTTCCGTTGCTGTAACATTGACCAAAAGCAACTTGGGAAGGAAAGACTTTATCTTACATGTTACTTTCCATCATGGGGTAAACGTATGCAGGAAGTCAAGACAGTAACCTGGAGGCAGGAATTGAAACAGACCATGGAGGGATTGCTTATTGGTTTGTTCAGCTATCCTTTTTATGCAGCCCAGATGCATAGCCCAGGAATGACCCTGTTTACAGTGGGCTAAGTCTTCCTGCATTAATGAGAGTTACTAAAATGCCCCCCTTCCACACACACCCCCAGGCCAATCTGATGAAAGCAAATCCTCAATTGTGACTTAAGTGAACAAAAACTAACTAGCTATGGTGGAATCATCTGCACACTTAGCCCTCATGACTGGATGACTGTCAGGCTTAGAGAGGGCTTTTGGCAGAGCATGCTGGCTGGAACACCCACAGTGTGGCCTGGCTTCCTTACACAGCAGTAGCTGAGTTCTAAGGCCAGGCACACCACAAATGGTGCACACTGAAGGCAGAGATACTGGATTTTGAAGCAAACAGCATTCTAAGCTTTTAAAGAGAAACTACTTGTTCATCTTGCATTATATTTTGAAGTACCTTGTGTTGACTGTATTATTATGTTTGTTTCTTTAACTCATACTATTTTCTCCCCTTGACTATTGATAGAAAGGGAGCAGTGACGGAATTTCTTTGAATTTTGTGTAAGGCTGATTTCCTTTTCTTAGGGATTTTGTGTCTTCAGAGAAGTGTCTTCCTTTGGTGGTATACTCTATAATTGTTGGCTATGTACTAATGCTTAATATTATATTTGGATTTCACAATAAACCCATAACCTGCAATTATATAAGTGCTTTAGAACCACTCTGGTTTTTTTTTTTTTAAGGAAACTATTCTAGGAATTTCTGAAACCTTTTTGCCAGCATTAACTGTGAACACACTCTTCTTTCGTCTTAAAGGATGGCTTCCATGTTTTCCTGGTGGCTATGTTAAGTATCACATGGTGGCTCACCTGGCCAATGTGGTGGTCATTTCCCATTTCATTGAAACGTTTTCTAAGGGAGACACGGACTGTGTTGTCCTTTCTTTTTCTTCCTCTTTGCTATTCTTAATGGCTCTCCTTAAGCTGCCTGGAATTCTGTGGGAAACCACATTTTGGAACAGAGTTTGTACACATGGTTTTCTTGTTTATGGGATAACTCACTGTGCTGTAAAACCCAGAAATAATGTGCTGTGTGTTCACTCCTGAAAATAGTGTGTGAAGTTAAATGTAGACCACAGTGAGACATAAAGACTGGGTTTCCTGTTTGAGAAATATCGATGACTAGAAATACGATCTTGGCAAAGAAGCAGTAGGGATTCCTCCGTGTGTCAGCACGTCACGTATCACATTATTCTTATCAGACTTCCTTCTGTTTATAATATGCTGTATATTGAAAAATTAGATAACCACCTGGCAAGGGGAAGGCTTGGTCGTTAGCAGACAAAAGTGGGTATAACAGGACTGAAATGGGGAGGTTTTTTTTTTTTTTGAGGGGGGACAGGTTTCTCTGTGGCTTTGGAGGCTGTCCTGGAACTCACTTTGTAGAGCAGACCGTCCTTGAACTCACAGAGATCTGCCTGCCTCTGCCTTCTGAGTGCTAGGATTAGAGGGTGTGTCACCACTGCCTGTGCAGAAAATACACTTCTGCACATGCTGATAGCAGTGAAATGTCTCATAGCTTCTTGGTTGCCTTTCCTTTCTCAGTTTATTTGCTTACCTTACAAAGTAGCATTTGTGTTCTAATGTTCCTTGTTGACTGTTTCTGAAAGTATGTCTTCCAGTTCAGAGTTAGTCCTTTACAACAGTGTGGGGTTTTTGCTTGTTAGCTTTTTGGTATTTGGAGATAGGGTCTCCCTGGCTAGC